ATGGTTAGAATTACAATGTTGTTCTGCTAGTTTCGGAATTTCTCAAACACTTGGAATTCTCCTGAGAAGGGAAGGGGGTGAAGTATTTCGAGTTTCTTTTTACGCCTTTTGTGTGACCTCATTTACACAGACGACCCGGATATTAATCAACTTTTTAATCTATGTATAAAATTCTATGACTTCTGTTAGTCCGTACATTGACCGATTGAAAACAAATTTTGGGGAAGTGGGCAAACAGGTAAGAGGGTACAGAGTACAATTTATTTTACTAGGGTGCGTAGCTTGGTACAATTAATTTTCATTCTTTTCTTTTTTTTCTTTTTTTTTAAAAAAATTAAATGTTTTATTATTTAACATACCAAATACCCCCAATATTAATAAAGCAATTTAATGATTAAAATAACAAACACTTATTTAATAAAAATGCAATAATGCTATTTTGCGTATCTTTTCTTTAAGTTTTTATATCCAATTTCCAGTTCGCCGTGCGTTTGTGAGACTATAAACAAATCACAAGGCCAAGCGCTTCAAAAAGTTCGTATTTGGTTCGAGAAAGAAATATTTACGTATGACAAGTTGTAGTTATTTTCCAAGCGTAGCTTAGATGAGGCATAAGGCCGAAAGTAGGAGGCACCCACTGAGGATCGAACTCACTACTCAGTTGTAATTGTTCTAGCAAGACATGCTTGCTAACCATTACACCGCCTCGAGATGCCCCACGTATGGCTAGTTTTATGCTGCATGCTCAAGAGTAAGAAATCCTAAGGTTTATTCTTCGCTGTTAAAAAGGAAGAAGGAAAAAAGAAATTTTCTTAAAAAATATTGTTTACCATGAAGTTCTATAAAATTAAAGAAATTATTAAACTGCGAAGTAGGTTTTTGTTAAATTATTTTCCAAACAAATCAACTTTTTAAATTTCATCGATTGTTGTGCGAAATTGAACGAAACGTAGAGTTTGTAAATCTCGACAAAAATGTTGGCGATAACTTGAACAATACTAAATACTGTGAGGATTTCTACATGTTGACGCGAATTGCAAAATATTCTAGTGATACAAATGGCATGTAAAATACCCGCCCCCCCCGAAAAATAAGGCAGCATAGTCTAACAAATTCCTTCGTTTTCTCCTCTTTCTCAGTGCCATTAGACCCTCCCATGGAGAAGAGGGTCAGAACCTTAACACTCTGTGTTGCTACTACGCTTTCTGTAGTAGTTCAATTTTTACGCGGTAGAGTTGTTAGCCTCACGACTATCTGGTTTTCAATTCAGAGTATTTCTTTTTTAAAATACCATGAAAGTGTAAAAATAGGTTTTTATACCAGAAATACTTTGTAAAAAAAATATTACCAGCAATAATTTTTGGAAAAAAAAATATTATCAGCCATAAAATTTGTCGGCATTAAATAACCCATTGAGGTTGACATGCCAAACAAAACAAAACCAATCTAACGAGATTAACCTATTTCTTAATACTTTGCTTAGCTTTTGGAAGGCATCTTTCCATATTCTAATGCGACTTCGGATATTGTTGACGAATTTTCCATCCTCTCTTAAAAAAACTTCCTAGATATTCCAATTTTTTTACTTGCCTTATTTTAGCATCTACCATTTGTATATTTGTTGGATCTTTATACTTGCAGACAATATTAAATTCTGTTTTCTTGCAACTTGTGTTTAGTCCTTTCTTCTCGCTTTCTTTTACAGTCCTCTGTAGGAGTCACTGTACTTTCGTTTCTGTGTCTGCCAGCAACACTGTTCCGTTTGCGTATCTTATGTTGTTAAGATTATGGTTGCCAATAATGAATCCTGGTAGGATTTCTAATTCTCTCAAAATCAAGTCCGGTGCGAAGACACAACCTCATTCGGTGAGAAAACACATTTGCCGTCGTCTGTTAAAATACTTCCTAGATATTTAAATGTTCGGATTTGCTACTGGAATCGTTGGGTAAGCTTGATATATTTGATAAGGATGTTAGTAGAATCCAAAACTTACACCGTGAGCATACGGACAGAACATGAATTTGGTAAATATACAAAAATAGATAGGGATGTAAGACAAGGATGGGTCTTCTCACCGGACAGAAATAGCGAGAAAACAAGAAGCATGTACACAACAGGGACTGAGAAGGAAGGTGAAAAGACAGACCATACTAAAAGCTACAAAGGATAGGAAGTTGTGGAGAGTCTTGATTACCAACGTCTTAAGAGGACGTGGCACTTAGAGAAAGAAGTTAATAAAATATGTACCAATACGACTGGGATATCAGAACTCAAAACAGTACTTCTTAGATTTGTATTCAATTTTCATTCCCAAAGACTGGATGCCAGCCAAGGCACACCGCCTTACTATTAAAGCCATGTGTAGGAAGATAATTAACACAAAGTGTACGAAGCAGCATCAACCAGAATATATATCTATATATATATATATATATATATATATATATATATATATATATACGTTATTTTTATAGATATATTTTATTTAAGTAATTGCTCAGTTTTTTTTGTTTTTTTAAATAAGTAGCATTAATTACATTTACCGGCTTGAATGTTCGAGAATTTTCATAGAAAATATGCGTCCTTCGAGAGGAATCCTGTATATTCCTATACAAAAACGCCATTTGATCTGACGTACTATACTATTTAGCTATGGTGAAGCGTCTGGTTAGCAAAGTCCGAATTACTGTTTATTTTATTTTTATTACTTTTCTTACCAAACGCATCTCTGTAGCTAAATGGTATAGCACGTCAGATCACATGACGGTTTCCTAATAGGAATGCAGGTTCGATTCCTGTCGGTGAACGCATATTTTTTACGAAATTTCTCGAACACTCAGACCAGTAAAAGTAATTAATACCGTTTGATTAAAGGAAAAAAAAAGAGCATTTACTTAAAAAAATTGTATGTATAAAATTAATATATTAAATTATTGTCGGACTTAATTCATTTCATGATATATATATATATATATATATATATATATATATATATATATATATAATTATTTAATTATTTTAAAATATGATTCTATCGCTACATATGAGTTCTCATTTTCAAAAATAATAACAAAAATATTAAAGAACTTTCGATTATTTACCTAACGAGTACTAATTTTTATATATTTTTACACACACACACACACACATATACATATATATATATATATATATATATATATATGTGTGTGTGTGTGTGTGTGTGTGATAAAAACAGTTTTAACGTATGTTATATTATAGGTAAAAGTGCTCAATATCTGGGATCGAGCGCATGTAAATATAAATATAAAAGTGAACTCTAAGGTCAAAACTGAGCAGCGACAGTCTGTTTCATGCTTGATATATATATATATATATATATATATATATATATATATATATATATATATATATGTATATCTTTAAAAGTTATACTTAATGGGCATACGTATTTGAGTAGATGCTCCGTTTATCTTAAGCTAAACGGAGCGTCTACTTAAATACGTGTAATCAAATAATAAAAATGTGCTGGATTAAAAAATAAAATCCATTAATCCTTTAGAAATATATATATATATATATATATATATATAGGAAAATAATGGTTTAGCAAAATAAACTCTGTAGTATAACAGTGCAGATCTCTTTTAAACTCAATTCGATATTTACTGTGTGCATCACAGCTCTGTCCTTGCGCCAGACTAAGTTAAGACTGGAATATACATTTTTCTCTCTCTCCCCTCTCTCTCTCCCCCCTCTCTCTCCCCCTCTCTCTCTCTCACTCTCCTTTTCTCCCTCTCACACACACAGAGCACATCCACACTGAATCTATGTAGTGAGGGCATTCACATCCATGGTAACAGAGATTCTGTATGTGTGTGTGTCTCTGTTCGTCTGTGTGTGCTCGTGCGTGTGGATGCGTGTGTGATAAGTATTTTTTTTTGTTAGGGTGGGGCAAGTTGTTAACATTATGGCGATCATTTTTCAGTTTGGGTTTCGAAACAGGAAGAAAAAAATAACATTAAAAAAAAAACAATGCCATATCTTATTTTTAATTAACCACACCTTTTAGGCAAAATAACACAAGACTGCTTAATAACAGAACGAATTCCGAGGCATAAACATATACACCCTTTTCGAAACAAACATCTCTATAACCCACATTTAAATATTCACATTACTTACAAAGGGTATATTGCCTCCGTTAGTTAGCGCGACAGTTACGCCCTGCCAACAACTCATTAGTAATGGACTATTTCGTTTTGATCGCATGAAAAGACGAATATTGTAGACGCTACTTGGTTTCAGTGAGAAAAAGAAAAGAAAAACGGAAAGAAAGAAGGGAAGATAGAAGTGTTTAACGCATCCTGTCAATATCTCATAAATAAAGGACTATTCCGTTTAGATCGCGTGGAAAAACGGAAAAGATATATCAGAGACGCTACTTGGTTTCAGTGAGAAAATGAAAGAAAGAAGGAAGAAAGGATAGAAGGGTTTAACATCTATTTCAGTGAAATGCAAAACTGTTGTCAATTTCAAATCATTTCATTTGTACCCCCTTACTTCTTTAAATAACGACCAGCATTCTATGATTATTATTGTAATATTTTGTGAAACTTATTAAGCACAAATATTTAACGATGTGATAGGGGAATTTTTACGGATATTTTATTGCCATTAGACCCTGCAATCATTAACTTAAGAATTATTTCTATTATATATTGATTCATGTATTTTGATTGATTGATTGACTTGTCTTTTTACGGCTTATCAACCTTTTACATGTTACTTAAGACTAGAAAATATATTTATATTGTAGGAATTATTTTGGAGATAATAATGACTTACTGATACAAGTCCTACTAGTTAACCCATAGCGAGTGGGAGAAGAGGTGGATTCATACCTTTGCCAATGGTATTTGCACATGCGTGAATATAACGAACCCAATTGGAATTGGAACTCGGCTCTCCGATTTCCAATTCTGAGCCCTTATCCGTTACACCACCCGCACATCCACGTTTACAATACCTGGTACTCCCAAGTGCTCACCCACCTAAGTACTGACCAGGCTCAACGTTGCTTAACTTCGGTGATCGTACGAGAACTGGTGTTTTAATGTGATACGGCCGTAAGCCGTTTCATGTATTTTTAAAGAGAAAAGGACAACCTCAATTGACTAGTTTCAGAATACAGGATAGCGGTTTCATGCCTTTTCCATTTGCATTAGTATTAAGTGAATACGAACAGCCTCATCCGATTGGCAATGTCGAAGAGTACAAGGAAGTAGTTTCATGCCTTTACTGTTTGCATTAGTGCTAAGGGAACATGAAGAGCCCCAACTGACTGGCAATGTGAAAGAATCCAGGGAAGTGGTATCATGCCTCTCTCATATATATTAGAATAAAGTGAACATGAACCGCCTCAACCGGTTGGTAAAAGCGTAGAGTGCAGGGAAGTGGTTTCATGCCTTTCCTATACGCATTACTCTTAAGTGAGCATGAACCGCCGCAACCAACTGGCAATGCAACAGAGTGCAGGGAATTAGTTTCATGCCTTTCTTGTGGGTATTATTTTTGGGAATGCGAACGTCTCCAGTCAAGTTTTGAACTGTTCACTTAGTTTTGTTTCTGGAATATACACAAAAATTAAATTTATTCATGCGTTTTATAAACAGATGATAAACGTTCTTTTATACCCGAGTGCGCGTTGTACACAAAAAATACGGCAGATCTGGAAAAGGAGGCAAAAAAAGAAACGAAATAAGATCATTGGGGAAAATATTATTATTATTATTATTATTATTCCACTTACTTTGATTTTTGGTGTATACGTATTTCTTTCCGGGTCCCAACCAGAGCCATAAGGTCAGGAATGGCATTCCATAGAGTATTTTTTGAGGAAATAAAAGATCACACATATTTTACATAGATAAAGCTCTTCGAAATGTGTGACCTGTTCTTGTGAGTATATTTTTTTTTGTATTTCTTTAAGGCTTGGGCTATCAGGGATCCCATTCGATAAGTCTATCGGAACCTTTTCCAATCAATCCGAGGGATCCAGATGCAACTAGATTTGTTGATGTACCACATTTTTGAGATTTCGATTTGAAAGACCTTGTATTTTGATAGATTTATTTTATTTTTATTTTTTTTTTTTTTGAGATCTTCAAAGATACATTGCAGTCTGCAGGGACTGCCATGCCAATAAAAAGGCACATTTTGTTTTTGTGGTCTCTGATCCCGATATTTGGGTGATTAGCTTTGTTTATTCTGTTTGTGTGTATTGTGAAGTCCCATATTATTACTATTTCCTTGGGTTTCTCTTGTATAAAAATTTCCTTCATCTTAAGGTTTCAAATCGATTGCGATCGATGTTCTTCTTCAGCTTTGGGAACAACCTTAAGTTATAAGGAAAAACATCTGGACTGTGGAGGGACGGTAATGGACAGTTTTGATGCTCATCTCAATTATACTTTATTGGCACTTCTTCTTCTTCTTCTTCTTCTTATTATTATTATTATTATTATTATTATTATTATTAGGTTGTCCCAAAACTTCGTAAACACTTGCTAAAAATTGAAATTTTACTCGCCAAGTAATAACAAAAACAACAAAAATTATTCCTCAAAATAAAGACCATCATTTTCCAAGACTTTCTGTCATCAATCTGCAAGCTTTCGGATCTGGTGAATGTACCATTCAGCCGGCTTCGAATCAAAAAATTCTTGACACGCTTCCTCGACTTCATCAAACGAGTCGAATCGGCGGCCCTTCAGAAAGTGTGTGGCTTGGCATTTTCCTGCTGCATCAAAGCGCGCTTTCGGTTGATCAGAGCCGGGTACTTTTGCTTCAACTTTTCGTAGACCTGCTCCAGTTGCTGACAGTAAAGTTCGGCACTGATGGCACGACCATTCGGAACCAACTCAAAATGCACGATTCCTTCAAACGCACAACATGACTTTCTTGCCGAATCGATCTTGTTTTGGAACCGACGGTGTCTCTTGCCCTTTCTGAACCCATCGCTTGTCTCGATTGTGCTGGACCAGATAGACCCATTTCTCGTCCGATGTCACAATGCGCTTCCAAAAACGCTCGTCCAGTGAATTGCTGAGCAATTGACGGCAAATTTCAACTCGTCTGTTGGCTTGTGCTTCGGTGAGTTCGTGCGAATCTTGGCACGGCTTTTTGTGAACAAAATCAAGTTGCTTCAAGTGTCGGTGAATTGTCGATTTGCCAACTCCAAGCTCATCAGCCAATTCTCGAGTGCTCGATGAAGGTGCAATGTCCAACCCGGTTTGCAAGTCTCCATCATCCAACTTTAACGCCCGTCCCGAACGGGGCTTATCTTCAAGACTCATGTCGCCAGAATCGAAACACTTATACCACTTTGAGATCGCCTCATATGCAATTGTTCCTTCACCTTCGGCAGCACAAATCTCTTCTGCAGTTTTTCTGGTTGAAAGACCTCGCTTCCAGCAGTAACGAATCAAAACTCGCAGCTCAATTTTATCAATTGCCATCTGGAATACAAAGATGAAGATCATTATAACAATATAAACGCAAAAAACAATTAAATAAAAATTTTAATGAAATAATTTTTTTCAAAATTATCAAAATTAAGAATAAAGTAAAAAAACAATTAAAAATTGCATAAAAATTCAATTTTTCGCAAGTGTTTATGAATTTTGGGGACAACCTAATATTATTATTATCATTATTATTAATATTATTATTATTATTCCCAGTGCTTTGTACCCACGCCAAAGTAATGGCGACATATTCACGCAATTATATTCCAAACTATACACGGAAATACATTGCCGAACACGTAAAACCCACATATTTAGTAAAAAGACGAAACAAATCTGTTGTATCGTCGAGGTGAATGCTACGAAGAAAGAGTGCTTAATATATTTATTCAGCATCAGTATCTGGTGCTAACGGATACATACAAAAAACACAGAACAATAAGTTACAAAACAATAAACAAGGCAACTTACAAATGCTGTATATCCAAAGGAAGTAAGATTAGTCCGAATATTAATCAGCTTAGTATCAACTTATTAATGAACTGTTGAAGTCTTTAATCGGAGACTATTTAAGGCTATGAGCTATGAGCCTGGCCATCTGGTAGAGTGCTTGAAGGGGTGCTAGTTACTCTGTAACGAAATCTGTATGCACTAGCTGAAAACAGACACGAAAATAAAACGCTTATTTAATGACCTTTGACCAAACGAGCGAATAAAGTCGACTTCTCAGTCGTGTTGAAAATACCGGTCTAATTTTTCACTGCCAGTTTTAACGATTAACTGTAGAGGCAGAAAAACGTAATGATCGTCATCGGTTCTGAACTGCTACACGAATGACGAACAATATTTAACTTTCAATGTCAGCGATCAACAAGGTAAATTGATGTTACCTACTTAAAAATAAAAAAAGAATGTATTAATAATAATATTAATATTATTATTATTATTAATAATAATAATATTAATAATAATAATAATAATAATAATATAGAAATAGGACATGTAACAGTTTTATGGGACTTTACAATACACGGACAGAACAATCAAAGCTAATCGCCCAGACCTCGCGATCAAAGCCTATAAAAAAAATCCCAGATAACAGATATATAAACTTCTGCACTTGCTTGATGTTTTTTTTTATCTCCAATTCATGACTAGCATGTTTGACTATTTTTCTCTTGCTTATGACCCTATTTACTGTCTTGCAATTGATAGTCCTTTTTTCACGCTTTCTTTTATTATCTTTTCTAGGGTATTCTTATCTCTCTTGCGATCGCTATACCCCGTGAGTGTTAAGTTTTACAAGCCCTCTTTCCTCATTATGCGTCTAAGGAATTTCAGCTGTTTTTTTTCTCCTGATTCTTATTGTTCTTTTTGTTGCCATTTTCTTTAAGAGATTTTAGTTGCTTACTCGCTCCGTCCATGGAATTTTTAGTATCCCTCTGTAGAACCAGATTTCTGCCGCCTCTAGTTTTTTTTCTGATCTGTGGGGAGATTTTCCATTATTCATTGTCAAGAGGATGGATATCATATAGCAATCCAACACTCTTTTCTTTGTTTCTAATGATCTTTTTCCTTTTTTTCAGCATCTTGCTTAGGCTTTGGAAGACATCTTTCGCTAGTCCAATGCATGTTCAGATTTCGTTGTCACATTTTCCATCCTCTGTTAAAACACTTCACAGATATTGAAACTTCTGCGCCTGCTTGATTTTTATATCTCCAATTCGTAACTCGCATCTTAGGCTTTTTTCTCTTGCAGATCACCCTACTTTATGTCTTTTTGCAATTGAGGATTAGGTTATCTACAAAGCAGCGTCAATTTTCAAACACATGTCACTTCAGCGTCAAAGGGATTATAATTCTCTACAGATTCTTCATTATCCGTGAATTGCCCTTTCGAAAGATAGCGGAGTGTTTCCCCGTTGCTTTCTCCGTGGTTTTGAATTCAACTTAGAATAACTACCACCCAAGGATAGAGTGCCTAGTCTACCTTGCTATTTATTGAAAGTGGGGAACACGTATGGATCCATGCCTTTATTATATATGATTTTCCAAGAAGAATATTTTTTGCTGTGTCCTTTATGGTTTTGAGTTCAAAGTCATCCTCCACTTAAACTTGCTGTCTACCATGCTATACCTGGAGGGAGAAGTGATGGATGTGTGCCTTTCCCGAGGGAATCTGTGCGGAAGAGAACGCAAAATAGACAAGGCCGGAATTTGAACACGTCTCACCGATTTCACATTCCGCGCTGGTAACCATCACCTTGCCCACAAATCTCAGTGACGCGATAACTCTTGTATTTTGCCCGTCTGCTTGCATCTTTCTCACTACTATTCGTCCGATCATTCCATGCTCTTTGCCGACTATCCAGGCAGGCTGTTTGCCTACATGACTCGATAGAAGATCGATATTGGTAAAGAGAACTTCAAGCTCTGATCAACAAATCGATATCGGACTTTGTAATAGGCAATAGATGTGATTAGCACACAGGTTGATTGTATTGGTAGGTATGCAGAGACCGCATACATAGTATTATGGAATTACCAACATCGGAACAGAATATATTAAGCAAACACTAAAACTACAGTCTACTATTTGTGATA